GTTTATATCTCATAATTATTTGTTTATATCTCATAATTATTTGTTTATATCTCATAATTATTTGTTTATATCTCATAATTATTTGTTTATATCTCATAATTATTTGTTTATATCTCATAATTTTAAGTTCGTCCCACAATTCTGAGTTTATATCTCATAATTAAATGTTTATATCTCATAATTTTAAGTTCGTCCCACAATTCTGAGTTTATATCTCATAATTAAATGTTTATATCTCATAATTTTAAGTTCGTCCCACAATTCTGAGTTTATATCTCATAATTAAATGTTTATATCTCATAATTTTAAGTTCGTCCCACAATTCTGAGTTTATATCTCATAATTATTTGTTTATATCTCATAATTCTTTGTTTATATCTCATAATTCTGATTTTATATCTCGTAATTCTGAGTTTGAATTTAATGTCTCAAATTATATCTTGTAATTCTGTGTTTATATCATAATTCTGATTTTATATCTCATAATTCTTTGTTTATATCTCATAATTCTGAGATTATATCTCATAATTATTTGTTTATATCTCATAATTTTAAGTTCATCCCACAATTCTGAGTTTATATCTCATAATTCTTTGTTTATATCTCATAATTCTGAGATTATATCTCATATTATTTGTTTATATCTCATAATTTTAAGTTCATCCCACAATTCTGAGTTTATATCTCATATTTCTTTGTTTATATCTCATAATTCTTTGTTTATATCTCATAATTCTGATTTTATATCTCTGAGTTTGAATTTAATGTCTCAAATTATATCTTGTAATTCTGTGTTTATATCATAATTCTGATTTTATATCTCATAATTTTGAGTTTGTCCCGCAATTCTGAGTTTATATCTCGTAATTCTGAGTTTTCTCACGATTTTTTCTTACAATTTTTTGTTTATATCTCACAATTCTGAGTTTATATCTCATATTCAGGATATATCTTGCAATTCAGAGTTTTATCTCGCAATTATTATTTTTTCTCAGAATTGTGATTAAAAAAGTCAGAATTGTGAGCTATACATTTAGATTTATGAAAAAGTCAGAATTCTGAGTTTATATCTTGCAATTATGTCTTTTTCTGTCATGGAAATAAAAAATAAAAAAGATAATTACAACTTTTTGTGTCACAATTCTTTTTTGATTGTATTGTAAGTTTTTTTAGTTGTAAGTTATATCTTACAATTCTGATGTTTTCCCCCATAATTCTGAGAAAAAAGATTAGAACTGCAAGATATAAACTCAGAATTCTGACTTTCTTGCGATTCGGTTTTGTTTCTTTCTTTTTTCTTTTCTTTTTTCCCCACCACAAAATTAAAAAATTATTTTCTCACAATTGTGAGTTTATATCTCACAATTCAGACTCTTCTTCTCAGAGCTGTGAGATAAAAAGTCACACGTACCTTTGTGGCAGAAACGGCCTTCCATAGTCTTCTGTAGAAAATGGCATGAATCCAGTGGAAGGAACGTTTGTGGTACTATGCGGCCCGTGCATGTCACACATCCCACAAGCCTTACGTTTCTTGTCTATGTGTGGTAAGTGACACATATGCGATTCACATCGACAGAAATGTTGTTTTACAGCTTTAGCTAATGTCATTTTATCATCACGCCTACGTTTACTCAACGGTCTCGGATCAAATCCATGACTGCTGTTTTTCACAAATGATGAGCACTGTTGTCTTTTATTTTTCTTCTCAAGAAAAGTAAATGCTTGCCGGCATGTTTTAAACCGCTGAATGCCATATCTATATAGCTTTTGATTATTATGTAGCATATCCGTCGTGTAGTCACTCAGATCCATGAACTCATGGGCAAATGTACAATAAACTTTGTATATCAGAAAGTTCAGATGCTGCTGTCATTCATGTTCATCTAATGATATCTTTCATCACTAATGAAGGGATTCAGACCGTTCAGATGTGTTAATATGCTTTTCACAAAACAAATCATTCCATCCCATATTAACAGAATATAGGCTTTCTAGTTTAATTGGTTGTTATATTATCTGTTGACGATATAATTTAGAGATTATAAGCAGTGCTGGCTAGTAACTGATTACATGTAATCTGGATTATGTAATCAGATTACAAAATAAAGTACTTGTAATTAGATTACACTACAATTTATAATGCGTAAAATCAGATTACAGTTACTTTTTTATGGATTACATCATTGCATATTATTCACACAATGGCAGTAAATTATTCATCATTTATCGATTCACCCCAATTCTTTTCTTTCTTTTAAAATTTCCTTTCTAAATGAACCTTCCACTATTACACAGTTTGGGAAACCCTGCTGTAATGTCTAAAGCATTTCATAATTTTTTATTTTATTTTTTTTAATCAATATGGTACACAATAATTCCTTTAAATTCTATGTAATAAATGAGTTAGGTCAAAAGTCATCTAAAATTAATAAAAAAGTAATCACACTACATTAATACTACTAATCTAAGTCGTGTTTTCTTAGGTTAAACAGCACAAGTGAATAGATATCATATACCATATTTCCCCAATTGATTAATCACAGTATATTAAGAGTTGTTTTGTATTAAAGTTTTGCTGTCATATAAATATGCAAATGAGGCATTCTAGAATTAAATATGCACTAATTTGCATACATTTCCAGAACAGAAATCTGAACATCATTTCATTTTTGCAATATTTTAGATCTCTTTCTATCACTCCGTAAATCAGAAAATACTGTCAACAGCCAGAAAAAAAAAAACATTTTCACCATGTTTTTGGTATAAAATTTTATATAAATCCGGCAAATGATATATAAACACAAATAACTCTGTAAAAACATTCAGAATATAGATAGGAATAAGTGCTGCTGAAGTGAAGAAAAAAACTCATAGCGTTTAAAAATATGTATTGAGGTTGGAATGCAGATGCAAATTGATAAAGTTAAACAAGCGTATTTTGGATGTTTTCTTTCCACTAGCCTGTTAAGTCAAGTTATGAAAGCAAAATAGTCCAAAATCTCAACATTGACCTGTGCATGACAACACAATGGTTTTGCCTGGCGTGTCTTGCCTTAAAAGAACCAAACTAACAACACAAAGAAGTTAAAAAGATCCCAGATTTCTTTGCAATCACATTGTCTCTGGTGCTTCTCAGAAACCAGGTTGTCCACGTCTGCCATCTTTAGATGAGTGCATACGTCTTTTCTTGTTTATCTACATTGTTTCTGCCCTTAAAACTGGCCTCAGATCTCATTTGGTCCATTTTATTCGTGACCGGGTCACTTACAGCTATTACTTCTTTTATGAAAAAAAAATTTACCTGCTGCTCTTCAGAAACAAACGAACTGCATGTTTGATCAGAGAGCGGTTTGAAAGAATGTTGACTTATATGTGAACGCTCCAAGTGAACTCTAAAGCGAATCAAACCCTTTTAAAGCAATCTCACACGGTTTGAGTGCAGTTATTGCAATGCATTTCACTTCATATTGAATGCAAAACAGCCTGGAATCACCTTTTCATGTTTGTGTAATGCCACGTATTTTTGGCAGTATCAGGTGATATGTTTTTGTGGGTTTATTATTGCATTAATGTATGGTGAAAGTGGAATCTTGTCATGTATGTAATGGAATTGGTCTATTAGCTGCCTCTTGAAGTGTAATTATGCACATAAATCTTGCACACACATGCACTTACACATGAAGAACATGAGTGTGAAATAAAACATCACATTTAGCATGACCTGCAATGTCAGGATCAGATGTGGGCGGGGCATTGTGTCATGTAAAGCGTGATAAACTGATGAGGACTGTGAATGCAGATGACCTGATGTGCTCTGTGTGAATGGAGCCGGATGTTGCCGGAATGCAGATGCATTGAATGGATGCTGAGTGTCTTAAGAGAAAGGCAGTCCTTTTTCTCCAGGGAATGATATTTAATGTGTGTGTTTGAGAGGTTTTCTTCCAGTCAAGACATTTCTTTTGAAGGAAAGAGATCATTCTGCCATAGAAATGTGTTTTTCCTTACATGCATGCGAAATTAAAGCAGAAGAACTGATGCATCTGAGATCTTTGCTAAAAGTGTGGAAACACTTTCATTCTTCATGACGTGGTTTTGATGGATTTCTGATCGTTCTGAGAGTCGAGGGACAGAATGAGCTGAAAAGAAAGTGTTTTTGGAAGTTTCCGGGACAAAAAAAACAGAGTGGGAAACAGATGAAGGACACTGAAGATCCTCTGAGAGACGCTGTTCGGAACAGAAATGCTTGATCATGCCTTCTGCTGTTTTATCCTCCTCAAGGTAAGTTCAGCATCTTTAGAGAGTACATCACTAATGCAACAAGGAATGCATTCATGTTAAAAAAATTATTTGTTTGTTTATTTATTTATTTCACTGTGAAGAAAAATCAGTAGAAAACGGATCATGTTCTAGCAGGAAATTACCAGTACTTTTTCCATTACAGTTTTTTTCGATTGCTAAATGACAGTGGGCACAACTGGAGCTACATGTGCAAAACTCTAACTACAGTCTGCACTACCAACAGTCAACTGAGCTAAACATTCACATCACCTGCAAAGCTCATTCCAAGCAACACAACTCTTAACACATGGCTCAAAACAGGCTCAGTGCAGCCAAACACTATGCACAACCCTCACTGAGATAACACACACTGTCACTCAGAACACACTGAGAGTAAAAACACTAGCATCAAACACCAATACAGAAAATACAAACTTTTCATCTTTACAGTTTGAACAATTTCAGTGACTTCATACAAAGTCCTATTTTCTTCAAAGAAAAGAGTGACATTCTTTCACATGATTTATTTAAATTTGTAGAACATAACAATTCTTTAAGGTAAATGAAAATTAGCAGTTTGCTTCAATAGTCTGTAGTAATTTACGGAATTACAGTAATGAGAAAAAAAAGGTAGAAACTAAAAGTACATACTGTAATTCGAACAAATAATTGAGGGGCTAATCCTGCCTCTCTCTAGCATCAGGCCACAGGTTTTCATCAACATCACATCTAATGTTCTCTCTTGCCATGCACCTGGGGAAGAACCTTCTGGAGTGCCTTATCCATCGCTGGCAGTCCTCTGGACTCGTGTCCTCACACATGCATGGACATGCACATGCACGCATGGCTTCCAAAAGAGACATTTGGTCATGTGGGTGGTGATCAAACACTTTCCACCTCCAGGCAGAGAAAAACTCCTCTATTGGGTTGAGGAAGGGTGAATATGCAGGCAGGTACAAAACCATAAATCTGCGATGTGCTGCAAACCAATCTGTGACAGCTGCAGAGTGGTGAAAAGCAACGTTATCGCAAACTATGACAAAAACTTGGGGGTTTCTTACTGGCTCCCCCTGTTCTGCTGGCACTAGCTGAGCATAGAGCTGTTCTAGGAAAGCTATAAGCCTTTCTGTGTTGTATGAGCCAATGAGTGGTGTGTTGAGAAGCAAACCATCATTGGCCATTGCAGCACACATGGTGATATTTCCCCCCCTTTGGCCTGGAACCTCCACAGTGGCCCTTTGACCTATAACATTCCTTCCTCTGCGCCGTGTTTTGGCAAGGTTACTGTAGTTAGAGTTTTGCACATGTAGCTCCAGTTGTGCCCACTGTCATTTAGCAATCGAAAAAAACTGTAAGTTATGGTCATTTCTTTCAATCATAAAACACAACACAATGAAATGCATAATTTAAAATAGGGTCAAATTCCATGAAAAATCAATACAGAAAATGCCTTAATAATATGGCACATGGTGCCATATTTTAATGGATTTTATTTATTATATATATGTGTCTGTGTGTGTGTGTGTGTGTGTGTGTGTGTGTGTGTGTGTGTGTGGGGGTG